ACACACACACACACACACACACACACACACACACACACACACACACATGTGATAGTGTCTCAACAACAATAATAATCTGTCCCGTGTGTGGGAGTTTGAAAGGAGCACGACAACACACACAACACAATAAAATAGATAGAAAACTGAACAAAACTCATAAAAATTGAATGAACTATACACATATGGGGACAATTGACGACAAATACACTAACCGAATCAAATCAAATTGAATCGATGGCACCACTTTAATAATCTCTCTATTTTCATCGATGATTTTTCAGACACAATTCGTTCATGTGCACGGCAGTAAGTCACAGCTTATGACTGCTATTACTGATTTTAGTCATTTATCCTCGTATTGTATGTCGTTGTCGTCGTCGTGCTCATGCTTTGCGGTATCATTACAAATGGATTTTTTTTTCGATCTCTCAATCTTGGAAAAGAAATAAACGTTGAATAATCGAAACGAAAAGTTCTCAGCGAATTTTCTACACAAGTAGAACACACTAGTGTGTGTCTGTGTTTGGTTCCGTTGAACGGCTTCCATTCGCATTAAAAATCTATTAAGTGATAGTATTCAATAGAAGAGTAATAATAGTGAGAGATTTTAAGTTGTGATTTACTGGTATTTAAAGTTGCCTGCCAGCCAACAAAAAAAGAACGAAGAGCTGATCATCAGAACATTATATATAAACGGTTTTTTACCGTGCAATGCCAAGAGCGCCAAAAAGTATGGGTATTTATCGTTAGAATTGATCGTTAAACACGTGTTTCTCTTCGTTCATCGCTGTTATCGTCGTGCTTTGACTTGTGCTAAAACGGAGAGACAGCCGTTGAATATGAATTAAGCTTAGTGTATATGTGTGTATTAGTGTGAATGCATAGAAAAACGACCCCCCATTTCGAAGAGGCAGAGCCTCGATTAAATGTTGTTGATTCAATTGAATTTTTTCTTTGGTCTCATTGTCGAAACGGGCAAATGTTAAGTGCTAGTAAAAGTGTCGAATCATTACGTATTGGCAGCACCGAAGAAGAATGTGTCAGTATCAGTTTTAATGATTCGTGAACTGGAAGAAAGTTGCTCGATTACATCAATCACGATTATAATCTTCATATGACATCAAAGGAGTTTCAAGTGCGTAAAATGAATTTTCTTTTCATCGGTATATATCCATTTATTTATTCGCATTGAATGCGCGCTGCGCGATAGAACACATCTGGAATTGTGAACAAGTGAAAGACAGATCTGGCTTGGAAAATTGTTTTAATATACGTGTGTGTCTGTGTTGTCTGTTGATTTGAGGCCAAAATTTAAGACCAAAATCAAATCAAATTTAGATAGATTTCGTTTATATTTTTTTCGCTTCATCTCGTTTTTTACACTTTTTCGTGCTTGAGCCGATATGGTTGAAATGTTGCCAATCTATATGTATGTGTATATACTACTATTGCAATAGGTTTTTACGCCTTCGGCTGCAGATAAGACATGGGCGGTCCATACGGTATGCATATTGATAAAAATAATATGTTTTATCTACCACAAGTAAGCCGAACAAGCTCATTTCATCCCAATGTTTTACGTTACGTTGAAGAACGTATCCCAATAATTGTAAGTCAAATCAATAAGAGGTATACACATTAATAATTCATTGATGACTAATTTAACGCTCATGCATTCGATTTATGATCCTTTTTAAAGAAAATTATGTACATTTGCTCGTTATTTTCTCGACAAACGACGGCTGGTTCATGTTGTGTGCGTGTGTGCGTGTGTTTGTGCGTATGTGTATGAGGCGTCCCGAAAAAAGGAGACACATCGACAGAGCGATGTTTAAAAGAATTTCCGATTTTTTTTTCTTGCCCATTTTTTCTCCGTCGATTCGCCGCGTATGTGTGTACAACCGAAATCAATTGACTAGAAAATAGCCCATTTCGGTAACAAATTACACTCATTTCTATGCATTAACATTTATTTTCAAATGGTCGAAAGAGCAGCGAATAGGTTGAAGGTGACGATGGTGGTGGCGGTGGCGGTGGCGGTAGCGATGAGGAGCCGTATAAAACGGGTAGTCCGAAGAATTTGTTTTTTCTCTCTCGTTCTCTGGCCGAAATGAAATCGAAAAATATTTGTATGTGTTCATTGAACCTATAACACTTGAGTCGATTATGATGTGCATATGGCCTTGTGTATTAATGGCATCATGATCCGTGTTCACTCTGCCTCTCTCTCTCTCTGTATGTGTGTGTGTGTGTGTTCACACGGGCTATTGGGTTGGTTATCAGCCAACATAATAAATTTTCAATCGGAAGGCATAGGCAAAAGTACCGCTTTGCATCGTGTAAAATGAAAACGAAATTGAACGGGGCATCGAGCTTGGAAAAAGGAGCAAGAAAATGTGCGGAAAAATCCACCACTTAATAAATCACATCACTTTTTGTGCCATGTAATTAACATGTCAAACACATTTAATTTGCATTAATGCATATGGCTCTGTCGATTGACGACGATGAGAACGACGGCAGCGATGGCGGCTGCGACGTCGACCGATCAAATTGTTTTGCGCTGAAATCGCAATTTGCTGTAGGTAGTCTGACTTCTTCTTTGTTTTTTTTTTCTCTCCTTTTTGAAATGAATTGCTCTTCTTATGGCCTCCAACGACGTGCGAAAACCATTACATAGTTTGTACTAACAAAGTATAAAACTAGCGGCTAAGTGCTCAACTGCTCAGGACTCTTATGACTAAAGTATATATACACGTTTGATGGGACACTATAAATGCTTGTTATACAATGTGTATAACGGCATAATGACACAGCACCGAGCACAAATCAAATACCGAAAATGGGTCGAACTTCCATTAATTCTTGTCTATTTGCGATGGGGGATGAACGTACAGATAGAACACGGATCGAAACTAGAAATTTTGTAGCGATGGCTTTTATATACATAATACGGTTCGATGTCATGCATTTGCCGCCACTGCCACCACCGCAACACAAACGATTCGTATTACTTGTTTTATTTTATTTTTCTCTTTTTTTCCACTCTCCAACGCTCCTTTTATCCATGTGTCGCCGAGACAGGCTTTCAATCGAAGGTAATAACGTACATACAAAAAGTGAACAATAACGCCAGCAACTAATTGTCGTGTTTTTCAAATTCAATACATATCCAGTACCGTTCATTGTTCAATCTGTGTTGAAAATTGCTTGACGTTATTAATTTTTGTGTACACGATTTTTTTTCTTGATCACACTCTCTCGCCCTCTACTGTGTGCATGTGTGTGTGTGTGTGTGTTCGATGAATGAATTCCGCTTGTCATTATATATACTTTAGAGCTTCATCGCACCAAATTACCACATCGTAAAATACATTCCCTCCTGAAGCATTGGACGCACTCGGACGACAAACGATATATTCAGGTTTCTCTTTATTTTTGTTTTCCGAATGAATACATGTTGTAAATAGTGCGACACTTGATCGCAATTACAACAATGCTACATATCGCATGAGTTTATATGGGGCCAAATTTCCCCGAAAAACTTCTGCACTAGTTACGAAGTAGAGCTAGAGAGAGTCGAAGGAAAACAACAAACGCAAAAAATTTAATAAATTTCTGTATTGTTGACCATTCCATTTTCAGATTCGATATCAGCAAAAGCAAAAAGAAGAAATGGAACGAAAACGTAATGAATTCATCGGTTCTCGACCACCCGTTACGCCGCTCGATCTCAGCGATAATAATAAAATCCAAATTGGAAATGGCAAGGTAATCATTTTTCTCGTTTTTTTGCCTATCCTTGGACGAAATTGAACGGTACAATCGAACAAAAAAAAGAAAAGAAGGAAACACATAGAAACAGTAGTTTTGTCAAACGATTTATGTGTCATGTTATTCGATTTGATTTGCAATACGACTGTAAACGGATGTGTTTAATTTTTAGGTTCGGCAAATGTTTGATGAACGACGTCAGCGTGTCACAGGTATTGATAAAAGTTATCCACTTCAGCCAATATCGTCGAGAATTGTGTCGAATAATTCGGGTCGTCAAACGAAAAATACGGTAATGATACACTGTTTATTTAATCCTGCCTATGGGCAAATAGAATATCGGGAATGTCATGCACACTGATGGGGGCCGCATTTGGAATATTTTTCATTTCTTCTTCTGAATCTCTTTAATTTGCATTCTGTACTCTGTAATTTCCATTATTAGACCTCTGTTAAGCGAACTGTCAACCCAAATCAAAACGGAATTTACGAACACTCCTTGAAATTGTCTGCCCGAAATGGTGGCGGCGGTGGTACTGGCGATATGAAACATTATCCGCAAGTAAGTAATGGAACATACCAAGCGTACTAGTATGTACTAGGGGGTGGGTAATTTCCAAAAATTCCAAAGAAATTTCAACCATTTACCAATTCGCCCGATGTAAACAAAACAATCCCTGACATATACCAAAACACTTTTCTCGATTTATATTTCGTTTTATGTCTGTGATTCGTTTTTTGTGTTTTTTTCTCTGCTTCTGTTGTCCAACAATTTTGTTGCGCCGAAAACAACTATATAAACATTGTTCCAAATCCCTAGGCGACGACCATAACAACAAATAACCGTTTCAACCGAAATGCCGTATCGAGCAAACTTAGTGATATTGACTACATTGAAAACGAGCAAACACCAGGTTTGTGTTGTTCAATTGTTGTGTGAGCGTGAGTGTGCCTGTGCATCACAATAAGTCAAAATCAAAACACACTCAAATTCAAACTGGCAATTAATTTTTCCCTTTGGCTCAGACATTTTTTCCCAGTTGGATGACATCGATAGTTTGGAAAGTGGACGACGATTCGGTGGCATGGAACGACAAATGGCAAATTTGAGTGTAGGCGATAATAATTCGTATGGCAATACCAGTGCTAATATTAAATTAGGACCGGTCATTACGAGAAAGACAATGACGCATAATAGCGCAAGTTCATTGAACACCAATAAACGGCTACCGCCACAACCGGCAAAAGCGCGCTCCATCCCAATTACACCGCAAAAATCAAGCGTTACTTACAAAAATGAAGCGTCTTGGCCCGTTTCACCGACTCGAAAGGTTTATATACACCCATTTTCATTTCTACCCATTTTTTTCTTTCTTTCTAATTTTCCCTGGTATTTTATTCATTTCTCTCTGTTGCTATCAAATATTCTTGGCGTTTTTTTTCTTAAATAATGAAACACTTGGCAATGACGTTTGTATTCATCTACCCACGCGCCTAGGTCACCAACGGAAGCATTACCTCGGGCAGCAATACACCGTCATCGCGCAGCAGCGCTTCATCAACTGCTTCAGCCAGCAAAGTAAATATTTTAAATCATTCTATTTCATTTTCCCGCTCACAATTTCTTCCGACAATTAATTAGACTTTTTTCGTTTCAAAGTCAATTGATTTTTTTGTTTTGCTCATGTTCTGCAATTCACGTGCGGAAAATGTGTCCAATTTGAAAGTATTTCGTCGTAATTTGTGTGTGTGTGTGTTGGAGAATATTTAATTCTCCGTTAAAATCAATGACAATGGATGTGTGACATTTAGTAACTGAATTATGTGCGTGTAATTTGTATTCTTACTTAAAAAGGCTGCAGTGACTGGTCCACCGCCCGAAGGAATGGTAGCGTGTGGCATTTGCGGACGAAATTTCTATGAAGATCGCATTGAAAAACATGAGACAATTTGCAAAAAGACATCGACCAAGAAGCGTAAGGTATTCGATGTAACTAAGCATCGTGTTCAGGTGCGTATGTGCGACGCGCGCGTGTGTGGTTAAACTTTTCATGGTTTTGAATGAGTGTGCAAAATAATGTGCAATGAATGTTAATTTTGTTGTCGTAGGGTACCGAAGCGGAGGCATACGTCAAGAAGGCGCAGAAAACGAAGAAAAAACCGGAAGCACCTGCAAAGAAAAGCAATTGGCGTAGAAAGCACGAGGAGTTCATTGCGGCTATTCGTAGTGCAAAACAAGTGCAACAGCATCTTGCCAATGGTGGAAAATTATCCGATTTGCCACCGCCGCCCGTATCGGAGAACCCGGATTATGTGCGATGCCCGACGTGCAATCGTTCCTTTAATGAAACGGCTGCCGCCCGACATATACCCAAATGCGCCAGCTATCAATTTAACAAACCGAAAACGAACACTAAAACAGCCGCAACCCTTGGCAAAAAGCGATTTTAATTTTTTTGTTTGTTTTTTTTTTTTTTTTTTAAATAAGAAAAGAAAACCGATTAAATAACGACTCGTGGCCTTATTACATATCTCTCCCTCTATCTCTTAACATTTGCCGTATGATTAATATTAGAAAAATTCTGATTTTGTTTGAGCCATGCAATTGAAGAGACACTTTTTTTCAAACTACTAACCCGACCAATTTACCAGTAACAAACAGTAAACATGTTTTTTTGTCTATAACCTTGATGTGATTTGATATATTAAATATTTAAGATGAAAATCGTTGAAATGTGTTGTTTTACTTTCTTCACTTTTGAATGAGGCAATTGATGGGATGACGAGAAAAGAAAATGGAGAACGGTAAGTAAATATAGCCAATTTGGAACGGTCTCTCATTTAAGCGGCCAATTAATTAATAAAAATGAATTAGAATAAACATTTATCCCGAATCGAATTCACTTTGATGCGCAGATTTGTATGCCATTCACATTGGGAAGGTAAAATGTTTAGACGTGATAGTATTCCAACAACTTGGCCAACAAAGTAAATATTTAAAATCATTTCGTTTTCCTGCTTTCAACTTCCGGCAATTAGATATTTTTATCGATTTTACGGTTTTGTAGATAGCTGTGAAAAATGTGTCAATATTGAAACTTAAATCAGTCTACTGAAATTTTTCGTTACAATTTTTTCTTCGTAGCATTTATATTTCCAAATTTCCAGTTAAAATCAATTAAATCAACGACAAAAATTCCAGTTACTTACATTGAGTGCATAAATTATTCACGTGGAATTGTTTCGGTATTCGAATTGAAAATGCCTGGGCCACCACGACCAAAAATCCAAGACCTGGTATTATGTCGCGTTTGTCGACGAAATTTCTATAAAGATCGTATAGCAAAGCATGAGTCAATTTGCAAAAACGTATCGAAAAAGAAGCACAGGGTGTTTGATTCAGCAAAGCAAAGAGTTCAGGTACGTGTTAACCTTTAGTCACATGGAAGCCATAAACGATAAGCCATGAATGTTAATTGCTTTGCGTAGGGTACGGAGGCGGAAGCCTTCAACAGGAAAGCGCAAAAGCCAAAGAAAGTGGTCGCAAGGACAAACAATTGGCGTCAGAAGCACGAGGAATTCATTGCAGCCATTCGTAATGCGAAAAAAGTGCAACAGCATCTTGCCAAAGGTGGAAAGCTTAAGGATATACCTCCACCACCTCCGTCCTCCGAAAATCCTGACTATATTCGATGTCCATCTTGCAATCGTACGTTTAATGAAACTGCTGCAGCCCGTCACATACCAAGATGCACCAGCTATGATTATAATAAACCGAAAATGAAACCCACAATATCGACGGCAAAACTGGGCAAAAAACGGTTTTGATATAAACATAAAACATCTAATAAATCTTTATTTCAAACGAAAACGGTAGACAATTCAATTTTGGTTTTATTCAATTAGTCGTGATGGATTGGTTGGAGTGAAAAAAAAAATTGGAACATTTTTACGATCATCATCAATTCAGAAATGTCTCCATTTTATCCAGCGAATCTCGTACGTTCATATGATTGCAGCTTTACCTCTCATTCAACAGTTCGTTTTCATTCTACTAGTCAGTGGCTCTGGCAGTGATAGGCTCTGTTCATTGTTCTTTATTAAAAACATTCTTGCGGCTTTTTATACTCACAATCAATGTGTTCAGTTTTGTTTGATATCATTCACATTTACCTTTGCTTGATTATACTGGATTTTAACAAATGTCCGAAATAAATTAAGCAAAGCAATCAAAAGAAATAGAAAAATACGTGAAATCCCACATTTTCGTTGCGTGTCCGTTTAGGTAACTTCATTCATCCCAAAATGACCATACAAATTACAAATACATACAAATAAAGAAAAAAATAATTCTAAAGATTTCCGATCGATGTAAGTATAAAAAAAGACGTTTATTTTTACTATTCAATCGATTAGTAAACATGGCAGTAAACCACCTTCTTCTGAAGAACGGATACCATTTATTCTATTCACGTCGTTTGTTTATTTCTAAAAAAAACTTTGATGAAAACATTGGAGTCGTTGCTAATAAAAAAACACAACAAAAATCGTAAGGGTATAGAAGATGGGCATTTTGAATCGACATTAATGGCAACGTCTGACCAAACAGTAAAGCAGCCGAAATTCTGGCTAAAACTCAAAGAAATTTTAATCAAAAGTTGGGATAACAAAACGAAAGTCTTCATACCAGCTATTAATAAACAACAATCAAAACGAGCGTCACGAACCTGTTATGATTACTCCGTGAATTTCTTAGAAAAATGTAACAGAAATATGGACCATGGTATTGATGTTACAAAATTCGAAAACAGAAAAATATTTGTTCGGAGGTATATTAGAAACAAAAATAGAAATTATGTAACCATATCCAGTTATGATTGAAAAAAAAACCCAAGAATTAGGCTCACATTGACGTCATAAAAAACGTTTTTGATTCAATTAAAATAAAAACCGAATGACAGGGACTGATAAACCGATATTTTAGACGAATATTTCAACAATTTCATTTTTGTGTCATTCATTTATTCACGAAGTTTGATTGGAATAATAAAAATAAGGGGAAAAAATGCGGTGTGGCAGCTTATTCCGATATGTCTTCCATTTTATCGGCCGGTTCCAAGATCCGTTTCACGCAATCGGCAGCAGAAATCATTTTCAAGCCCTCCAATGTGTACGCAAGATCAGCCAATGTGTTGGTGTCATCTTCCAGCCAGAGGCGAATCATGTAACGACAGCGCTCCTGACTTGGGTTTGAATCACGGAAATAATTGATTTCGTCATCTCGAAAACCTGCAACAAAAAAAAACAATTGCAATTGAATTAGAACATCACAGTTAAAATGTTTACTTTTAAGATTTTTCTTCGACTGAATAGAAGATTTGTATTTTTGTTCGTCCACATTGTTTGGATATTGAATTCAATTTTCAATAGGTCACAAAATACGATTCAATTTGTCCAAAAATGTAAAAAAGAACAAAAAGTGAGCATCAATAATGGGAATCGTAGATGAAATCTGTGCGATTAAAACAATTAATCAATCTAAATCGCCTAGTCTAAAATGAGTCACCATTTGTCCATATTCAAATGCAATTAGATTACAATAAAAAAAGAATTTACCTAATTTGGAACCAAGTTTCTCCCAATCGTTGCCGATAATGACACATAGCTCTCGTATTTGATCATCGGTTGCCGTGACAATTTTATGAACGTTTGCGTCATCCGATATCAGTTGATCGGTGGGCTCTGTATCCTCTTCAACAAGGCCATCTTGTGGATTCTCCATCATGAGGTCATTGTCGGTGTCGATTTTGTTTTCGTTTTCGTTTTCCGGCTTATGCTTTGATTTGGTTTCGTTCAATTTTTTGCGTACGTTTTCCAAGTATTCCGACACCTTATTTGGAGCCGGTGTAAGTGAGAAGAACAATGGAGACTGTCTGGCCAGCAATCTCAATGCGCGCCATTCATACGATGGATCCGATTTATCTGGAGGTGTTTCCAAATATGTGTCGATCGGTGGTAAAAAGTTTCGATCTTCGCCACGACATGCTTGCAAATTATCCGGACACAAGTTCCACAGGCGTGTCAATTCACTATTACCCAAATTGAATTTATTCTGTTTGGTTGCGTCGTGGATGATATCGCCCAAGTTTCGGCGTTGCCTCTTCATCGGAGTTTTTGCTTGATCATCGGCCGGTGGCTCGGGCCGTTTAAATTCTGTGCAATGATTAACAAAAAAAAAATCATTGAAAATTTGGGTATGTTGAAATTTATAATTTGAATTGTATTACCTTTGCAACCTTCATTCTTCCAATTATTCCATAATTCTTCACGCTTCAGCATATGACGAACAGTCTGTGCGAATTTCTTACCATTCGGTGGTGTTTCTTCGAGCAGTCGATACACCTTGGCTTCGGTTTCTTTGACAAATTCATTTTGCAATGGCGTTAGCACTTGTGAATCTCTGGAAATTGAACCATTTCAATCAATTTAGTAATAAAGTCTTCGGTACATCACAAATTCAATTTTAGAGAAGTTGAAAAAAAAATTAATTTTCTGAATAAGTTACTGCTTACGATTTAAATTTGACAGTCGAGGTGAGATACTGAAACAGAATCAAACATTGCACCAGAACTGAACGACGAAAATTAGCGTCGGACAATTGCAGTGCAAGCAGCTTAGGATTCGTAAGAAACTTGGCAAAGAAATGCTGTGAATCTTCGATTTGGTCATCAATAGTTGTGCCATCATTCAGTTTAGTTGCCGGAACAGAGCCTCGTTGTTCCTCTAATTTGAAGCTGCTAAATGCCGACAGTACACTTGTGATATGCTGAAATGAGAAAAACGAGTCAAATCACCAATAACACCAAAATTATTTCAATTTCAATTTCGTCTTTCAAGCAATGAACCTACACTTGAGAATTTTTTCCAGCTGCTTGGATCGTAGCATTGATTTGGATTACGATAAAAGTCTTGTAATGCCCAGAATTTTGTATACAAATTGTAGTCAATTTTCACTTGTATATTTTCCGATTGAACGCTGTCCAAAACCTCATCATTGGCATCACCGTCGAATTCCGTCAGATTTTCCAAATTAAACTCCGAAATGATGTTCAAACCGGATCGTTCGGAGAATGGGAAGAATGTAGCGAGAAATAGTAAAATGCGGCCGCAAAATACGGTGTTTTGTGCACGTGAGAACCGTTTCAACAAATCGTTGCACATACGAAGCAAATTATGTTTGCATGCGGTAAAAAATCGAATTTCCTTCCAAACTGACACATTGCTTTCGACATAACTAAACAATCGTTCGCATTGATCCAGGGTCACTGTATCGAACACATCACTCATCAGCACAACGGGAATAGTTGCAGTGCAAATATCCTGACGACAAGCCGCTATCGATAGTGTAATCAATGCTTCAACATTTGCCGTGCTGCCAATTACATCTTCGCCCAGTAACACATCACGGAATGCTTGGTCTAAAATGATTTTCTTATCATTTCCGCTGCCTTTGGTCTCATCAAAATGCGTCTTCAACGATACAACATTATTCGATTTGTAGCAATTCGACAACACATCCTGCAAATAAAAAACACCACAACGTAAACAACTCTTGAGCTCCACACACAAATCTCTCACACATTTTTGGAGGCAATAAAATGGTTTGCTCTTTTTTTTCTCTCTCTCTCACAAAATCTTACCTTGAAACCAGCATGCACAACTGGAAATGTTGCAGTTGACATGTTAGTCGGAGAAAAAAAAACGCTACGAATTTTTTATACGTCCCAAAACAAAATTACTTATTCGTAAATTTACAAATTTAGCGTCTATGTTGATGTTGCCAACATTCGTAAATAGCACACGATTGAGGTTAAATCCAAATGTCAAACGACCGATTTGTTAGGTCGCGTTCACACGTCAACAATTCGATAACAAATATGCAAGTCTTCAATTTAATGTTTGTTCGATTTGATTGGAATATTTTTGATTGTCTTTTCATGAATTTTAAATAAAATTTCGATATTAATTAGATTTATTTAATTGTTTCATTTATGCCATCGTTTTTGTCCCAAATGAGAACATTTCTTTATCAAAATGATCAATTTCGCACATTTTTGTTCGTGTGAACGCAACATTCAAACGTTGGTGGTTGTGTGTCAAAGTCTCACATGGTGAAGTAAACACATTTGTACTCAAAACTTTGGTTTTTGTTCGATGCACTGAAAGAAATTGGCCAAATTCTATCAACATGGCTGTAGATTTGAAGGGATTCAAAGGTAAGCATGAATTAAATCAACTCCAATTCCCAAAACTAATTGAGTCTCTATTGCGTGTTGCTTTTTTAGTTTTAAATCTGGAGTTTACATTCAACAATGAGAAACAGACGCGCCAGCTATTCGTTCAAAAGCACAATGTAAAGCGGACAACGGACGATAAACCGCTTGGCAAAACATTATTCATAATAAACATCCCGCCATACATCAACGAGCCACAATTACGATCAGCCTTCAGTTCGCTTGGATGCATCGACAATGTTTTTATCACGGAAAATACGATTGAACACAGCAACGAAGACGCCACATCAGTGGCGAGTCAATCGAAATATTTCAACAACAAAAATGATGAGCTCGGCTTTAAAGTGGCCTACGTAGTGTTCAAGCTGACAAAATCTCTGGAGAATGCGTTGAAATTGTCAAAAGTGAAAATTGAATCGAATGAGAATGGTTCGAGTCTATTGACAGGTATCGACAAATGGACTAAACAGTATCTCGACAGTTTCATTGACGAAAAGGAATTGCAAGCCGAAGTGGATGAATACATGCGTGCATTTGAGGAACGCGAACAAGAGGAGCGTGAAGAATCAAAGAAGACCGAAGTGGATGAGGATGGTTGGACTGTAGTGAAACGCAAAACCGGCGGCTTCCAACAAAAAGAGTCAATTCTAAAAGCACTCGAAGACAAAATCGAAAAAGGCAAAGAGAAGAAAGAGTTTAATAATTTCTATGCGTTTCAAATTCGACAATCCAAACAAAAGCACATCGTTAGTTTGCGTAAGAAATTCGCCCAAGATAAATTGAAAATTGAAGCAATGAAAAAAGCCAGACGATTCAAACCATTTTAAAAGAAAAAAAAATTTGCTTAACACTTTTTGTTATAATCAAAAATCTATTTCCTATTGAATTGAATGAGAGCGAGACAAGAAAAAAAAGAAAAAATTACACATGGTCGTTTTTCTTATTATAAATATGTTGGTTTTTGATTCTCCAGAACCATCTCGAGCAGTGCATTGGAAGGTAAGGTTTCTAATCGGCGCAGCAATTGTGATACACTGCCGGTAATGACACGCGACATGATGCCCAATTGAATGGCCTGTGAGAACCGCTCTAGACAAATCTGCATTCGTTCATCTGTGTTTGGCTCAATGTTTTGCATTCGATATCGTTCCGCCTGATTGCATATCGAATCGACAATTGTGCCCAATGTCAATGCATTGATTGTTGTTGGTGTTGAATTATTTTGAGATGCCTGAAATGAATGCAAAAAATTGGTCAGAATTTTGTTTTATTCATCGATTTTAATTGTCATATCACTCACTTGGGTTAGGCTTTGAAGAACAGCCAAATGAAGTTTACTGTAGATGAGGTCGTTTAATGGTAAAAACAGTGGCGAAAGAGTACACCATCGGATGAGACCTTCGGTGGGCGATATGAGCGCCATTGGTATGGCACCTGATGGTAAATCCAATTGTGGCTGTGTTTCGGAGCACAAATTCGGATTCTCTGATATCCATTCGGTAAACAGCTCAATTAATGAGTCTGGCGGTGTTGCGATATCATTTCCAATCTCTTTGAAGTATAAATCTGCCACCGATGTCATGAAATTCACTGCAAACCTAAAAATGGAAATATCTTTAGCTTCGACGAAAAACAGCCTACGTCGATGTTTTTCCTTACCTCGGTGCGACCATTGGCAGAGATTTCAGTTGATCACAGCAGGATTTCTGGTAAATGATGAAATCTTCGATGAGTCGTTGCGCTAATTCCAAGCATGCTAGTGCATTCGGACCGACTTGTTGCATCCACGTTCCTGCTGCGCACAAAATCTGTAATACATAACAGAGCAAATACATGATTTTTGGCCACAGTGATTAGCTATAATTGTTGGTTATAATTAAATTTATCATCGGAAATACCAACCGGAGCAATAGAATCACTGATTGCCGTGCTTATGAATTTACTCAGAACCCTCGACCGTGCTGGAGGCAGTGATGTGTTGCCAAATAAGCAGAGGAATACAGCATTTCGTGTTACGTCCGGACCGGGCCTTGAAAAATACTGTGCAAATACCAAAACCAATTGAAACTCCTGGAACACCGTCAGACCCGTACTAGTCGACCTTTTCGACGATAAATCAGCTTTCTTTTCGAGGAATATGCACTCGGCTATAAGTTCCAAACAACGATCCTGGTTCTTTTTACTCGTACACAAACTCTCTGCAATTGACACATTTCTTGATAACTTTCACATAATTTTCCATTTGATGGATATGAATTCTTACCGATACGAGTCAGTGCATCCTTGGCACATTGCGGAAAATCCGATTTTCTCGGCTTTTTGTAATCGGCCGCACTCATGAGTCCTTATTTTTTTTTTTCGGTAAAATTGTTTTGTTTGAAATTATGCTGTTTTGTCTGCGTTTCGCTTATGTCAAAACAACACATCGAAACATGGCATCTCGAAATCCATCAAATATCGTTCATCACGCATCTCGATAGATGGCGTTGAAATACCCAGACGATTGAAACAAAAGTTGTTTTTTCATGGAATTCTCACAATTTTACTGAATTTTATTTATTTAATTCGCAATTCGATCAACAAATTTAATTTTCTTGCTTGTTCTCTTCATAATAACAAATGGAACTGTTTGATTGAATGTTAAATGGCTTCGAAAAGCGGCTCTTGTCTATCTTTTCGGCACATTCAAATCAATTCATGCTCTAACAATAGAAAAAGTGAAATCTATGGCTCTAGCCATGAACAATAAGCCTTGCGCATTCGGCAGACTAAAATAATCTTTTACGCAATGGGCCAAAGTCGACGTGATTCGGTTTCATTTTAGTGTTCGGACTTTTCAATTGATCTTCAACGACCTCGGGAATCATTGTACTGTGGAATGCCGGCATGTTCGATCTCGACGGTGACGATGCGAACGCATTTCGACGTGGGCTGGACTTTGTTTTGTTGAGTCCCTTGTTGCGCTGCATTGCCGTGTTCAACATTGCCATTGGATCCAGTTTAGTGGACATGGTTCGCACTGCTGTGATATCGGTCGATCCAGATCCATCAGAGAAACCTGAAATTCCATGAAACACGATTTGATTGTTAATCGTCAGATGTTCGCTAGATGCTCTTTATTTCTCACAGCCTGGGGAGTGAACCCACCTGAGGTATCATCACTACTCGTTGTCGAGTTGTGTATCATCGTTGTCGGCTGCATTATTCGTACTGGCAAATCCATTGCGGGAAGAGCTTCCCAAATGTTTAGGCGAACATCTTTATTCACCGGGCATTTCATTGTCGGTGTCAACATCAAGTGCCAATCACTGAGCTGTGTGCCTGATCTTGCAGTTTCATCAGAAGCTTCATTCATTTCCAGTGGCAACTCCAATGTGATCATATCGAGACGAGTGAATAATATGTTAGCGCGTCGTAAACATTGGTCCAGTAATTGGGACTCCGTTTTAAGCCGCGACAAAGACCATGGTGGTTTAAAGTACAGCGCATTAATTAACTCTGGCATCGCACCAATAAACCACGCATACAGTTTATCGTAATCAATTTGGGGATTAAAAAGTTCTGCCACTTGTAACAATCCGAGTGCACTCATCTTATCCTTATCGAAGCTAAGCTGCGCTGGTTTGGTGACCATCAGCTGTTGTTCAAAGGAGTTGCACTTTGTGAACCAATTCTCGAGCTGTTGAAGTTTCGGTATGATTTCTTTGTCAATGATTTCGTGCTGATTTGCTTCCCAGTCAGCCAAGAAGCCTTCACAAATCATCTTCTCCGTAATCGTCGTGTTTATTAACATGCGACACATCACTTCTTGCAAGCGGCATGTTCGTTGCTTCACGTCGGCGCACAATTCCCGAAATTTACTGTAAAATTGTTGATTTTTCTGGTTATCGAGGTAGGGATTTTGTGATTCGTTGCCATATTTACCTGCCATGTTTTTCCCATTCCGCACATGACCATTGAGCTGCTTGTAGTTTTGCCTGTGCCTCGCGCAAACCCATCCCACTGGAAATGTGTCGATGCTTCATTAAAATTTCACTGAGATAAAACCCAAAACTCATTTACTCACTTCGAATTGATCAAATGCAAACTGTCATTCTCCTTCAGGACCGTGTGCATCGCTGCTTTCGATAATTCCACGATGATTTTCATGAATTCTACGCCGCCAGGAAAGTGAACCACTTGCATTTTGAATGGGCCGATCGTCCATTTGAAGTTCCTGTGACACTCATTGAAATATGCCAAAACTGCGACTCGGAAATCGGCATCCTCTTTCGATGAAACGATTGGCCAACGAAAACGCTTACGATATTCCACGGCGCTGATGATCAAATTGACCAAATAATGAAAGACATGATGAAACGCCACTTTGTTAGCTTTCACAAATGCATTCTGTCAAAGAGAAAGAAAAGTCAAGAGATTTCTTTGTTTAAATTCACTTTGAAACGATATGAATTGAATGCTATTTGTTGGGAGTTCTAGTGATAAAATGCAAAAATTGATAAAATATTAAAGTTGAGGCAAAGATAAAGAGATTGAATCAAAAACGGAGGAAAAAACCAATGATATAAATCACCTTGACCAAGAGCGGCTTCGCGGCGTCGGACAACGGGTACACCAATGCGAGTGTTCGTAAATTTTGATCGATTTCGTTTGAAAGTGGCTCTTCTTGCTGCTTCAATTGACTTTGTGTAACAATGGTCAACTCGAATACCGATCTTCGTCGACTCATTTCGAAAAATACAATTTATTCAATACAAAATATTATACACAAAACTTAAAGTCTGACAAAAAATGACGCGAATAAAAAAATACACACAGAGTGAGACAATGTGCTCCGCTGGAAAGAGAGTCGGTGTGCTCTGTTTGGAATGCGACGAAATACTGCATTCGTACACGCTGTGTGATTCAACACATCTACCGTGATTGCTGCTCAAAGCACCAACTAACGGAACACAATGTTGGCAAAATATGAGACGCAATGCACAATCCATCGATTGTATCGACAATCGAGAGAGGAAGAGAGAGAGAGAGAGAGAGAGAGAGAGAAAACGTGCCAACTGAAGCGAAAGATATGACTTCAAACAAATACAACAACAATAACAATAAAAACAACAAACACATCCAAATGTCTGTTATGAACGAAACATAGTTTAAATTTTAATTGCATTTTTGGCTTTTCTAAATGGCATTTTCAATTACAAAGACTTACACTGACAAAAAAAAAACGTTGATTGTTCTATTTTGAAAATCAATCTTTTTTTCAAAAAAAAAAAAAAAAAGCTTGGTATTGAATTATTCATTCCTTTAGTAAGTAACTTAGACAAATGTCACTTAAGCATAATTTGTTTAACTCATATTTCTCTTCATGTCCTAAATGCAGTAGTCATGAATGGCTTAATAAGAAAAAAATTGAATGTCAATTGGCACTTGATTCATTCGGCAGATATAGCAATAAATGTGTCCTCTGCTTCGTTTCTTTTTTCTTCCATGTTGTTTTTTTTTGTAGCAAATTTTCTATACACTAAACATTAATATTGTTTTCTTTTTTTTAGTTGTTTATCTTGTCTATTTTTCATTTTTGTTTTTTCTTGTTCGGAATTCTGGTTACAATCCATTCATTTAATTTATTTATATATATTCTTCTTTTTTTTTTAAAACTGTTTGTAGCATTTTGTCGTATGATAAGTAGAAATGTTTGGCTACTTAAGTCTCCATCCAAATCAATACTATCACTGGCTAAAAGTAAAATGAAATGTTCGGTGCGACTGTGTGTGCATGTGTGTGTTTATGCTCGCTCTAGCAAGTGCTGTTTTTATGGCTCCAAGCGTGGCTGTTTGAAACAATCATTTGGTAGTGCTTCGGAAATGAGCTTGATGTTATTCACTTCGGATTCCAATTGTGACACTTCATTTTGGTATGATTTAATCGATAGATTTTGTTCATTCTTCACGCGATCCAAATCAGCCAAACGATCGGTTAAATTGGCGCGATTCACTTCGGCTTCGGCGGCAGTCAATCGTTTTTCTGTAAAGATTTGACATTACGATTCGTGTCATATTCTGATATTTGACATTGGTGATTCTGTTGTACTTACCAAGCGCATCCAATTCATCCAAATTGATGTCTCTCAAACTCTTCAATTCATCCATAATGGCTCTCACCTCGTTCAATGCCTTCTCCACTTGGGCGGTAGATTCTTCCGAATCGGATTTTGCTTGTCCAACCTGCGATCCAAAATAGAAACACAATTGGTCCTCAATTTGATGGGAACGTGCAAGGGGCGTATAAATCAATTTACCTTTTCCTTTGCTTCGTCAGTTAAGGCGTTATCTTCTTTAACTGCATCGCTAAGTTTGGCAATCCGATTTTCGGTAACAACAACTCTTCCGTTCAAATGATCGGCTTCACCACGCAATTGATGAGCAGCTGCCTTGGTTTCGTTTGCCTTTCGTCGAATAATGTCAGCATCCTGTGAAGCTTGTTCGGCATATTTCTCTTGTGCCTCATGTGCATTCAGACGAGCCTCTTCGGCATTTGAACGGGCACCTTGCAATGCCTACATCAATGAATCGTATGCAATTAATAATTGATACTGAATTATTTTTATACAATTTAACGACTGAACGAGGTGTAATTACATTTTCAGCTTCACCAACGACACTGTCCACTTCACGAATTTGATTCTCAATATCTGGCACGGTTTCCAATACCAATTTGGCACTCTCTGATGACTGCTGCACCTGCGTTTGAAAGCCTAAAACCACACACCATTTTAATTTGTCTCTTCCCGTTTTGAATCAAATGCCAATCATTTTACCTGTTAGTGTTTGGTAAGTATCGTTAGCCTCTTTCAATGTGCCATCGCCCAAAGCGACTGCTTCCTTGGCGTTCTTATTGATAAAGTTCAAATGTTCTAACAGCTTGATGGCATCATCCTGTTGTGTGATCAATCTGCATAGGAAAAATTTGTTATGAAAATGATTCTTACAAAAGTGCCGATGAAAAATAATCGATTTTTACCGTTCAACCAATACTGATCCATGATCGGAGTTCTCATCGTATTCAACAAGAAGAGCGTCATGCTCCGACGTCAATCGATCGATTTCAGCTTGTAAACGTTCGGCCTGTTGTCAAAATGTAGTCGAGATAAGAATTCAATCATCATCTTCAAAAATGTTTGCTAAATTCGAAAATACCTCTTGAATTGCCTTAATGGCATCCGTTCGTAGTTTTTCCAAATTGATATCTGGCACCGATAATGCATTGATGTTTGCAATCAGTGTCAATGCTTCGTCATAGACTTGATTGGCTTGCTGCAATGCATCATTCGATAATCCAATGGCATTTTCCAATGCGATCTTCGACTCTTCGATTTCAGAACGAATATTTGCACGCAATTCATCGCTAAACAAACGGAATATGTTGAGAAAAAAAACTAAAGAAAATTCAATGGTCATTTCTCCAATTTACCTGATCTGTTGCTGTTGGCTCAATGCATTTCTAGCCAATTCGTAAGCCTTTGATGCCTTTTCGTTTGCATCAACTGCATTCTGTTTACTTTGATCCGCTTGTTTTTCCAGAAGATCCACTTGAGCACGTGCCTCTCGTGAAATTTCACTGATTTGCTCTGATTGTTGTCCAAATTGGTCGAAACGATCCTTGGCTCTGGCCAATGCCGTAGCACCATCGGTGTTCAACAGCTCGGAAGCTTCCTGAAATTTAATTAATCCATTTAATGAAACAACCGATGACATTGAACAGAAAAATCATATCCATGAATCCACTTACGTCCAAAGTTTTGCGAGCGTTCGCAATGGTGCTTTCAGCTTTCGATACATTTAGACTGGCCAATTCAATTTCTTGTGCCGTTGTATCTTTCAAACTATCCGATTCATCGAGTAATTTTTGTACGTTATTCAATCGTTCGCGCAAGTCATCGATACGTTCAACCAATGTACGGTCACCGCCACCCGCGCCAGACTTAGCATCCTCAGCCAAAATATTGATTTTATCTTCAACCGCTTTGAGTTTCGCCTCAAATTCTGCATCATCAATGACCGTTGGATTCGATGCAATTTGTTGCAAGATACTCTTCAAATCGGCCAACTTTCGGCGATGATCGTTGGCAGCATCCCGTACCAAATTGTAGCAATCGGGACAATCCAAACATCCTTGATGACGATTGTATTTGTTCTCTTTGCATCTGTCGCATCGTCTGCCTTCAACATTGTCGTTACATGGGCATTGACCAGATGCATCGCATTGGAAGCCCTTTGATCCACTTTCGTCACAATCACATGGTTTACATCCCTCAGGTGAGAATCCATATTGATATGGTGAGCATTGGTCACAACGAAGGCTTCGGTAATAAGAGAGAAAGTTGAGTTTAGACATGAACAATTGAAAAAAAAAAGAAGACAAATCAAAACAATGCTATATGAACAAAAACTGCTATCATTTTTGCTTACCCAGTAACACCTGGTTTACAATAACATTGACCAGTGGATCTCTCACACGAGCTATTAAAACTTCCAATTGGATCGCAGTTACAGCTCTCGCAACCATTGCCCGAAACAATGTTGTAGTATCCATTTTGGCATTCGTTACAATTGCGACCGATAACATTTGGTTTACAACGACAGTTTCCAGTGAGTGAATCGCAAACCGAAATTCCATCTTCAGTTTGTTCTGTTCCTGGTAGATAGCATGAGCATTGCTCGCAGTTTCCATGTGGCAATGACAATGGATCACCGAAATGGCCCGGCAAACATTGTTCACAATGCGATCCACCAGTATTGTACACACACTTCGAACATTCACCAGTTGTACGGTTGCAATTGCCAACGGCGTTTGGATCAACGTTTCCATTACATTCGCAAGCTTGGCAAAGTTGTACTGGGCCAAGAAGACCGGTTGGATCGCCATAGTATCCATCTGAACATAATTCACATCGTGATCCTGTTGAATATTAACGAAAATTGAGATTTTTTTGTGAGATTTCAATCGAAATTAAAGAATAACGGAAATATTAGACAATGTGCCATCACTCACCGAAATAACCAATTGGACACTCGAGACAGATGACTGATTCGTCGGCCATTTGCATACAGGCTCCATTGTCTGGGCATGGACATCGTTTACAATCGTATGTGGTTCCGTTCAAAGCGTTTCCATAGTATCCTCTTGCGCACTGATCACAATTATCTCCGGCTGTGTTGTGTTGGCAAATGCATCGCCCCGTTTCTGAATCGCAAATATCGGCGTGTTTATTACAGTCGCATGGGATGCATGGCATGAATGGGCCACCACGTGCTGGACTATGACGGTATCCCGGTGCACACGACTCACAAAATTGGCCAATGTATCCTTCTGGGCATGTACACTGTTCAATCCATGTGGCTGGTCGACCGGCCGTTCCTCGGTTCGCTGTTTGCAATTCAACATCATCCAAAAATGCTTCGCCGTGTGTCGAGTAGGTGGCCCGAATCTTAATAGCCGTCAAATTGCTCAAAATCGAGATGAAACCACGTGACGATTGGCTCGGTTGCCATGAATACTCGCTGTTTTCATGCAAACGGAACGCATATTCGCGTGTCTCTTGATTTGGCAGGCTATGGCCTTGTGCGAAAATGGGTAATGAAATTTTGGTGCCGGCACCTTCTAAAATAACATCAGTTGGCGATGGATTTGGACCAACTTGACCGACCAATTGCAAGCGGAATTTCAATAGTCGATTGTACGAAGCTCTTTGATCGCCCAAAAATCGTTCGGGTGCCAAGAAATAAATGTGTTCATTGCCTCTTGCTGTCGTTCCGATGCTGTTACTAAACTGATTGTATTTCAAATCGACTGGATTGCTGTATTCATCAACGGCTGTCCATTTCTCTTTGTGTTTGTTGAAGCCCGACGTGGTTGAAACAATCGAATAGCCCGGAGCACTTTGACACTCCGACGTGTGACCGTAACAGAAGCATGGTGTACAACCGAATTTGTTCTCCAAATCCAAACTGAAGAATCCCGGTTTACACTCTTTACATCGTTTTCCTTCGACATTCTCTTTGCACGAACAGTAGCCAGTTTCTGGGTCGCATGATGGAATATTGTCCAATGAACCGCGTGGATCACAACCGCATGGTTGACATCCGTGTTCGCCGAATGCAAAGTAGTTGGCTTCACAACGGTCACACTTTTCGCCGGTTACACCTGGTTTACATTGACACTTTCCTTCGCTGTTGCACTGCAATGAACGTGATCCGGTCGGATCACAATCACAATTGATACAGAAACCGTCCGATCGCATATAGTAATTTTCTTTGCATCGTTCACAGTTTGGTCCATCGCGATTAGCTGCACAGTCAATACAATGGCCACCATGACCGGTTAGATTGAACAATGCCTTGTCAAAGAAACACTTTTGCGAATAACCGTTACAGTTGCATGCTAAAGAAACAAAGAAAATCGCAATTAGACATCATGAAAAATAGCACAATACAATTAATTGTGTCATTTCGGCCACGACTCCAAAAACGATATTTTGAAAATGTTTTACAAATCGTTTTATGACCATATGGCCAAATGAAAAGTACTTGATCACATCACGTGTGTGTCATTTCCATCATGTCCGATCACTTACTTCATTTCACCTTTTCTCTTTCGACGCACACTCTCTCACGCAGTGCACTGTTTTCTTTTCTGATCGTTTTTTTCTCCTTTTTCTTCTTCTGTTTGTCTCTTCTGACTTCTGTGTATAGCCCATGACAAACTGACATGGCTAAAGAAAACGATATGTTCAATGTTTTTCAAAGAGTGCAATTGCAATAGCAAATAAACAACCAGTTTTCCACAAATGGATATTGTTGGAAGTTGCAATGTAATTTATGGTTTTCGGCATTTTGTGTGTTTGTATACAGTGGGAAACAGTACAAAGAAGGTTCTTTGACCTTTTCCGATAGACAATGAAGAGAGATAGAGAAGAAAATTGATCGATGGCTACCACCATTTCAATGGCCACCTTTATTTTCAATTGAAGTATATATTTGAATAATGTTGTCTCAAAAATCTCATGTTTACGACACACTTGGTCAATTCGATTTCGATGTAAACCCATAATTCACTTTTGCATGGACAGAGAAATCAAAATGAAACTTACGTTTTAGCGAATTCCATGGATTATATTGATCAATTTCATTGGAATTGATATTCCAGTACGGTTCGGTTTGTGAAATCAACAAAAACCCAATGTATACATATACCAGCCACATAGTCACTTTGGTGGATCAAATTTCGGTACTTATTCGGTACCACAGTCACAAGCGAGAGATGAAATGGTTTTTTGTGTGTGGCAAAAATGATGAATTCTTTCTTCTTTCAATATTTCGACGGAGAGAAAAAAAAAATGTGTATCAAACTTCCTCACTCGGCTGAGTGAAAAATCGAACTGAGCTCACGGATTCTTGGTGCAATTTGTATTGTCTCGTTGCAATAAATTGTGTATGGCAAGAAATGACGAAAATGGCAACAAATCGACGAACAGATTTTTCTACATGGAAAGTTATTTTTCTGGTTTATCGAATGGATGCTTTAGCATTCAGCATAGAGAAGTTGAAAAAAGTCTGATAGAAAACATTTCTTCACATCTTCTTCTCTTGTTGATGCTCGGTTAGCACATTCTTGTGTGCGATGGACGACGTAATCTCTTTTTATTCTCATAATATCGTTTGGAATGTGTAAATAGAATATTGATGCAGACAAAAAAAAAGCTGACTCTTGCTATGGTCAAAAATGACGAAAGAGAAAGGTATCACTTACGTTTGCACTCGTGTACATTTTTCGATGTGGCTCTTCCCCATGGTGCATCATTGTAGAACGGCAAACACTTTTCACAGTCTTGTCCATCCGTGTAATGCTTGCACTCGCACACCCATGATCGTTCTCCATTCAATCCTGTGAATGTATTTCAGGTTTTTTTTTCGTATGTGATTTGAATGTTGTTTTGAACAGTTTTTTTTTAAAATAAAAATGTGTGGAAATTTGGGTGTGTATTTTTTACCTGTGCCAACAACACATTTATCGGAGTGACCGTTACACTTGCATCTTGCACCGATTGCAACATCAGCAATAGCATAAAAGTATGATTTCAATACTTGTGGATCGCCAAACACTTCATCACCGAACGTATTCAAACGGTCCAACGAAATACGAATATCGGTTGCAGTTACCCAGTTCTATAAAAAAAAAACAACAACAACAACAACAGCAACACACAATTAGAAGAGAAATAAATTGCAAACGATAGTTTTCTAAACGCTGTCAATTTTACAGCACATTGAATATTCAAAATAACATAAATCAATTATGTGCTTTTGTGTTTGTATTTTATATTGCCTACCTGCAATTCGAGGCTGTGCTCAAAGTTGTATGCACTGGGTCTTCCTTCGAGTGTTGAGAATGCAACGTTACCATCACGCAATGGTGAAATATCACTGTATTCACTGGTACAGAATGCACGTGATTCCGATTCACCTTTTTTGCCGGTGCGAAACTCCGACAAACTGTCAGGCAAACCGTATGTATCTCGGCACGTGGCACTATTGATGCGGCCGTAGTCGGTGTTGTTGTTGTCAATGGTGTGTGGTGTGTGCGAAAATGTGCAAAAGAATCACACAAAAAAAAACAAAAAAAAAACGTAAAGGAAATTAGCTCCATCAAGTATTTATGTAATAGATATATGCTGCAAATAATTCCGGAAATCCAATCCATACATATAAAATACGAAATTGTGGATAAGCGAATCTGGTCAACAAGCATCATTTCATACAGAGGATATGGTTTATATGAAGGTTACAAAGTCATCGCCTTGCTCTCACTCTCTCTCTCTCTCTCTCCCTCTCTCTCTCTCTGTCCCGTTTTCATTTCATTTGACATTTTCTGTGGTGGTGGTGGTGGTGTTTGACATTATCACACTGACAAACACAAAAAAATATGGTACGTTAACAGTTGGACTCAGATTAGCAGACAGATTTGGCTATTGGAGTTTTGGTATTCAATGGTGTTGTATGCTCCAAAGGAATACAACATAATTTACGAAACAGACAAAAAAAAATTGGTTCCTGTTATTACGAATGGGAATGTTTCGCAGCAGCGACAGAGAGAGAAAAAAAATGAATATGGACAGTGATAAGAATGGAACCTAACAACAGGCGTCGATTTGATAAGATTTTCAGTTCTCATTCATGTTAGAAATGGTCGACCGTTCTTCATGACTGTCTTGTTTTTTTCTGATTCTTTCGTTCGATCCACACCGAAATAGACATTTTCATCGGTCATTAGTTCCTCTCTTATCATAAAAAAAAATGAAGACGTAAGCAAATAAAAGCCAACAACATGTACATTACCTATAGTATTGATATGGAATCCATGATCCGTTCGTTGTTTGACGCTTGTAAATAGCAAACGATTCTGGACGCGGCGAATAATACACAATACGGATGTATGTGATATCAAATGACTTCCCTGAAAATTGAGAGCAACAGATATTACGAATTTGTCATGCTGCTCACATACACACACAGAGAGAGAGTGGCGACAATTGAATAAATGTCAAAATCGGCCAAATAAAAACCATTCAATATGAGAGGATAAACATAATTTGCAGTAGAGTATAAGAACTCTCTCATTCAAGTGTAATTTTTTTTTGCATTTTTTATGATTTCATTGCGATTAGATCATCCTTCGAAGTGAGGGAAAAACGATGTTAAAATGTAAAAAAAAAAGCACTAAACGTTCTTATGTGAGTGATTATGACATTTATTCATTTCTCTCGATAAAATCTATCATTTATTGCCGTGCAATCATCATCCGACCAATTACACTTGCAATGACTGTAAAATAAACTGGTTTCTAACAGATCATATGGATGCCTTTCCATGGCAAACGTAACAAGTGAAAATAGAATACGACGGGCAAAACTTGTTCGCGCGTTAATGATTAGGTCACCATGGAAAGACGCTTCCTTTAATTACCAATACGTATTTCAATTGGAAGCGATAAATTTGCAATTATTTCGACATATCGACGGGTATCATTATAATAGAATAAATTTATTACCTAGGTGCAATGTTAAATTGACTTGGTTCGGATGTTGAATGCCTTCCAACATCGTCTCCGATTGCCACCACGTTTGCCGTTGAGGCTCATGCAGATCGGTGAGAAACACGGAACTGTGATCGCCTTGATTACAAATATTGTCACAACTCTTTCGATTTGAGTATCCAGTTTGTATACAGTATTCTTGAGGTCCACTTTCGCCGCATGTATTTGTTGCCTCCATTCGTCGGTCGTAAGCAGCATTCACGAACTCTGGTATACATCGCTATGACAGAGAGACCAATAACATGACATTTAAATTTCAGTTTATTTTCCCATTTCTTCAACAATCAAAAGATATGAATGACAAACAAAATGGAGATATACAGAAAAAAACACGTAGGAAAGAAGCATTGAACACAAGCAGAGGACGAATATCAGAGGACGGAAAACGACGTTTTCATATGAACAATTCATATATGAGTAGTTTGGAGCGAAAATGTAATACAGAAAAGTTGCGCGGAAAAATGTCGATGATGAATGAGCAGAAAAGGGATAGCTATATAATAAACTGTATAGTAAACTATAGTGAACTATATAGCTATCTCTTTTCATTTGACATTTTTCCACGCAACTATTCTATTACATTTTCCCTCCAAACTACTCATATAGTATAATCTGAAAGCCATATGTTGAAATTAGTACAGAGCATGGATTATTTTAAGAACATATGACGATTACCGCATCGAAACCGACCAAATTGATCTCAATTGAAAATAGCCTGCCTAATTTTTCTTTCATATTCCATACGAATATGTTCATTTTGAACTCATAAATTCGTAATCATCAATCGAATGTGTTTTTTGTGGTGGTGAACGAGAAATTTTATGTGCGCGACGCCGAAAAAAAATCAAATCGACAAAAAACGAACGAACGCGGGTTTTAGAATGAGATAAGAATTATAATCCGTTAAATGTGATTGACGACCGGCTCAAAGCATATGAACTGATGAATGAAGTGTGTTCCATTGATTGAAATCGTTCAATGAAATCGAATTAATGACTCAATTTGCCTATTGTTCGATTTTTTTTTTCGTCAATTTTCATAGCTGGTCTTTCGCTCAGTCTCATATTTGTAGGAAAAAGGATTAAATTTCATGCTCGTTTTAACGGAGGAACGATTTTTGGAAAATTCAAGAGTCTCAGAGCAGTACCAAAATATCGAATACGAACATGTACGTAACGTATGAGTAAATCTCGGTGCAAAAATGCGATTAAGAAATAGTCTGTAGAAAAAAAGCGTTAAATTCTAACTCTCTCACACACACACACAAACGAAACGAATGTTGATGTTGCATTCTTGGAAAATTTCATGTAAGCCGAAACTAAATGAATTTGAATTTTATGCACGTTTTCAATTCGTTCGACCGAAATTTTGTGCTTGCAACGCATAAAGTGGAATGAATAATGGAAGAAAATCGACGAAATGCACACGAGCAAAACAATGATATTTACCTGTGGTTTTCCATATGGATCGTAGCATTCTAATGCCGGTATATAGCTAACTGCACCTTCATTTGGAGTAGCGCTGATTTTTTGTAAATAATCTAAGCCTAATATAATGCTCACAAATAGCCACTGCAAAGTCCACTTCACTTTCATCATGTTTTGTTTATTATATGTGTTGCGTGTTTTTTTTCTTCTTCAATTTCTTCTTCCTCGTTGAAATGAGAATTTGGTTTTAATCTCGTTCACACTTGACTTATTATTTTCTTCTTCTTTTCTGTTGTTGTTGTAATTGTTAACTTCACCACTTTCCGTTTTCCGTTTTGTCGTGTTGCCAACATAGATTAAAATGCTATGCTAAATTCAACTTCATTTTCACTTCAGTACAATTTCAGCATTTTATCAAGAACAAACCACCGCTGAAATTAACAAAAAAAGAGAGAGAAAAAAACGATCATTCATCGGGGAAAAAAAAGAAACGAATCGGAAAATACAAACACAGAGAGAAAGAGAGACATAGGAAAGACACATGTTTGCAAAGTATTCAAGAATAGTTCGATAATAATTTCAACTCTTCTATTTGCGTGATGTCATTCGAACTTTTACTGCCACACATTTGCTGTGGGAATGTTTTTTCCTCGGTTTTGCCGTTGTCGATAGAACTGTTCAACCGAATATTTGTTCAAATGATCATGCATAAAAATATGGTCACTGAAAGCGGGTAATGTTCAAAGTTGGGTTTTTTCCGTTCCAAATTGTGGCATTGGTTTTTGTGCTGCGCTCGCGGTCGGATTTCGTGTATATGTAAATGTTTTTTTTTTTTTCAGTTGAAAACATCTTGAATGCATAAAACTAACATGCGCTCGATTTCAGTGCTTACTTCATTCAACACCGAAAAAAAGAGATCCGTCTGTTTTTAACAACACATATGACGGCTGCTATGTTCGATCTATTTTTGGGAAATGTCATAAAACGAAATATCAAAACGATGGAAGAGCAGTTATGTTCTCGATTACTCTATTCCTTAGGATGTACACTAGCTGCCGTTCTTCTTCTTTTCGTTCTCTTTCACGCCCTCTCTCCCTCTCTCACTCTCTTGCTCACTCTTTCTCTATCTGGATTTTTGTTTTTCAAAGCATGTCTATTTTGTTCCCATTTTTCAGTTTAGAACAAGATAAGAATTCCTACGTTTCGTTTCTGGATCTAACGAAGAGTTATCTCTTATATAGGAGGATTATATTTTACTTTGTATGTTTAGTTCCCATGAACGGCGATAGAATAAAATCCATTGACATACTCAGTGCACCGCTTGCGAGAGCGGATTGGAAGCGGGAAGAAGGAGAGAAAAAAGAGCTATGAGCACCACAAGTACTTTATTAATAATTATTTGAGGAAAGAGAATGAAAGTACAGAAGAAGAATATGGTTTGCGCTACGCGCGTATCGTTGTTTACAACGGGCAAAGAGTCGGCGATCGGACGTTGGGCAGACTAATTTCGAATATATAAATTTACTTGAAAGTGCCTTTTGTATTTATAAATTTGTTGCTTATCTCATAACAAATATGAAACTTCCTCTTGGTGCTGTTGCTTTTTTTCTGTCTCTGTTCGTTCACTCATATTCATATTTCACAATGGGCACGTACATTTATTTACAATGTAAGGCAAACGAAAGCCAGGCGATCGTTTTTATTCTTTTTATTTCGTTCGAGTTCCAGTTGTTGATTGGCAGTTTTCACAATTCCTGTGTGTATGTGCAATTGGTTTGAACTAATTCGCCAGCTAACTCGAGTGGAGTGGAGTGCATTGCTTTGCGTCCAGCATCATAATTGAATTCAAAATTCCTAGACAGAAATAATTGTGTGGTGTAAGAAACGAGGGATAAGACGTTGAACATAATCTCTTGCGTTGTTGGGTGCGAGTGAAAATGAACGAAGTGTGTGCGCTTATATGAATAGATTGCATTTGCATAGCCGACACAGAATACACTTCAGTCTTATGCCAAAGTCAATGAATGTTTTATGCATTTTTCGCACTCGCGTCAACTCGATGGCTACTTTGCTATTTCGTGATGTGAAGCTTCTAAATAATAAACGGAATTTTCTCTCTTTTTTTGTTGTTGTTGTTGCTCTTCTTCCATTCGCTTATTAATGCACGTATTGAAAATATATTGAGATCAATCACATGCACTTCATCATCCCGTTTGGACTTCTAGCAATTTTTCATAAACACGCCACAACATTATCTTGTGTTTCCCGTTTTCATTGTGATAAAAACATGTAACTGGGCACTCACTCACTTTATTCCATACATTTCGATTTTGTCTTTGAACTCTTTTTTTTCGTTGTTGTTGTCGAAACAACAGAAAAAAAGATGAAATTATCGGCTCATTTAATGTGTAAATCACTGCGAGAATAACAATTATCACCAGCACACACAGTCACACACACACACACGAAAAATAACCAAAGAGAAAAATGCTAAGAAAAATAGATTGAATGACAGCAAATCCACACTGAATGAGCAGAGAATAAAACAAAACGTACAAAAACATTGGAAATCAGTTTTCAGAAAACATTCCATGCTCTTCCATTGTGAATGAGAGTACGCATATGATATTTTCTTCTTGATTTTTGCCGCATATATATACGAACACGATTCGTGCATGTGGAGTTTGGGATTTGTTTATAGCTGAGCCCATGAGTGACTGCAGTCACAAGGAGCACACATTTTCTCTAGCTTTGATTAAAATTAGTTTCTTTTTTTTCGGTTCTTGTTTCGTCGGAAAGTTGCACGGAAATTCATACAATTCGGATGAAAAGAAAACCTGGGCATATGTTACACGAATATGGAAATGGCCCGGATCTCTTTCGAATGGCTGACTCCGTCTAGAAATTCTCTTTGCAGACACATTTTTGATGCGTTTTTGTTGTACATTTGGTTTCATCTCATTTCACTCTTCGATCGAACACAAATTATTTCTAACATGTAAATGGATATCACTTTGCATCCAAGCCTTTTTTTCTCCTCTCTTCTCTGTTTTCTATGTGGATGTCTGTGTGAGATCATGCGTAAGTTCTGTTTATTTATTGCATTTTTTTTCGTTCAATTCCTTAATGTTATCTTTCTCTCTGCTTTTTTTTACGGAACAAACATTATTGAAATTCGATTTTTTTCGTCTTAGTTTTCAATCAAGAAAAACTGTCGTTATTTTTTATGTTTATTAAACTGTTTTTTATTTTCTGCTTTACCATTAAGAACAAGAGAAATGCTTTTACATTTCGTAAGTGATTTGCTCGCCCGCTCTCGACTGACAAACAACACACAACAAAGTAAACGAACACACTGACTTTTGGTTGTGACCTGTTGTGTATCCAAAAACCAAAACGAAACTGAACAATTTCGTACAATTCCTATTCGGCTGAAAAGCATTGGCAGTAGCGTGCGAGCGACAGAGCGCAAGAGGAACCAAGCTCAGTGCATACGAATACATATATAGGCGCATGCATGAAATACAACACACATTTTTTTTTCTTCTCTTCAACAAATCAAACTCACACACCAATGCGGACACACACAGAGAGAGCAACACACATACACCGAGAACCGAACCCGAAGAAAACATATTGACCGTATTTTTCTGCTTCTTTTCGTTTACTTTTCTTTTATTTTTTCATATATATTTCTTCTTTTTTCTTATTCCTTTTGAGTAAGTTTTAAGTGCGCAGGCCACATTATGCGCGCGCCCATACATAAGCATCCAATCACCAGTGCGACGGCAAGCGAGGGAGAGAAAGACAGAAGGAGAATGAATGAACAAGACGATCAGCAGCACCAGCACCATCGCCATACAACAATCGACAGAAGTTTTAGTACTGTACGCTAAAACGCATCACTCGAATTCAGTTTAAACTAGACAAAAATCATATGTGTCGTGGTTGGGTGAAGTATGCTTGAGCAGCACACAGCGCGCATCGGCTTCGTGTGTCGCACAGCATAAATCCCAACACAAACTCGGTACCGATCGACCGATCAAGGCTTATGTGGCCACACGAAATGGAAAAAGAGAAGAATAAGAAGAAGAACACAACAAATATGCCAGACACACAAAAATTCAACATAGAACATCAAGAGAGCGAGAGCCGCAGCCAAGCAACAGCAACAGTGCAAGTGAAACAAAACACACTACAGAACAGAACAGAACAGAACATGTAAAAATAATTACATAAACGCATACACTCCGCACACATGCACACAGTCCAATGGAATCACAGCGAACGAACGTTCGACGAATAATGAGCGTAGCATGTAAATGCGATCAAGCAACTACACACAGGATCATGGAGCACCAAAACAACCAAGTAACTCAATTTTCAAGAATATAGAAAACAACAACAGCTACAACCAAATACAGCCGAAGCAGAAGAGAGAAGAAAAAAACATGTAAAGAATAGAAGCCGACGAAAGAAATGTGCGCTTTTAGTATATTTGTACGTCGCTCTTTGATGTTTCGTTTCAAAGCTGAGATTCATTTCGTTTTCATTTTTCAACACTCCAGACTCAATTTTAGAATTAAACAAATACATCATGTCTTCAAAGAGACAGAGAGATTGAAATGTGCACAATTTTGTAGATACCAAATCCATCAGCAAATTTTATTATCTACCAGACAGTTCCCGGAATAGAGAAAAACCGGAGCAGTCAAATTCGATTAGTTTGAAGCATCACATCTCATTCACGTAGACACAAGCGAAGAGTATGTTGCCTCCTTTATCGCTTCATATTTTTTCTGTGTGCATATCTCGTCTCTCTTATCAGCTGGTATGGCAATGTTCTATTTTTGTCCCGATTTTTCAACATTATGCTCAGTTTCGACTGAAATGCAAATGGTTTACTCAGTAACAATGAGTTCATAGTAAAATGAGAAAAAAATGAATTCATTCATTCGATCCTGTGCCAATTAAACAGTGAAAATTCAAAGAAACGGATAAGAAACCGAGAACCAAGATAAATATGTGTTCTTTTTTCACTAGATGGACTTTGGCGTAAGGAAACTTATGATAAATCCCTACAACCGTGATGCATGAAAGGTTTTATGATGATAAAATTTGTAAGGTTTCAGATAGATGGATCGAAACACACTCAATTTTGGGCCGCACGTAGCATTGCTATTCAAATCGAGACACTGCGAATGTATTAACATATATTCACAACCAAACGTTTGGTTACGCATCTTAATCCAAATATAACGGTCGATTTTGGCAACAATTAAAACACATTCGAAATTGATGGGTAATCAAAATACTTTATTAGATTCCAGTTCGAAAAAAAAAAAATTAAACAGAAGTATAACATGAAATTTGGATGTTTTTCTTTTTTCCACTTCTGATATGGGGAGGAAAAGGACGAAACAATATATATAAGGTTGTCAACATTGCATGCGATAATTTAGTGTGTTTATTGGAATATACCAGAGGAACGAAATCTACTGAAATGTAACGACCAACATTTTTTATTATAATCAAATGTTTATCAAAAAATAGCGTGTAACCTTTAACATCTATTCAGTGCCCACAACATATTTGAATATTCTTTTTTTGGTTTGGTTTTAAATCTAATGTTTCTATTTCGGTTGATGAGTTTTAAACGAAGCCGGAGTCAATTCACGTCAGCTTCGATGTTTTTTTTTTTTGCTCACTCGCTCATCTTATTCCCTTGTCTTGTCTACGACGTATGTGTATTTGTGTGATTTCTTGCTATTTGCGTTCAGCTTTCCGATATAATTTCATTCATTAACGAAATACTACGCCAAATATATATATATATATTTGTTCAGGAAGTTGTTACATAAAATTGATAGGCTTACATCATCTAAATGTATATAATAGTATGTATTAGTTGAGGAAACAAAGAAAAAACAAAAATACTGAAATTAAATTGAACTTTTAGTTGCCAACTAAATGTTTTTTTTGTTGCGTGCATGTGCGCGCTTCGCTCTTTTGTTATCTGATGACTCGTTGAGTTCGTCGTTGTCTCGTTCGAGAATGCATTCATCACTTTCCGATTTGCTAATTGTGATGACCGGTATATTCTCAGACCAAATTGATGCTTGACTGTCTTGACGCTTTGGTTTCGGTGGTTCTTGATGACGTTTACGTCGGATCGATTCAAAGTATGTGGTATTTTTCGATGATGAGGTCGTTGAGGTGGTTTCGGTGGTGGTTGTTTTTACGCTTTCCGTCATCGATACGGACGCTGAATCATCGATATAGGTTTTAACACGTGATTGCAAATCAGGATTTGAACTTCCGCCACCATCCCCTTTTCTCTCCTTCATTTGGTTTTGTTCTTGTTTCTTTGCAGCGACCGCTTCACGTACCAATGCTAAAAATGAATTCAATTTTCGTATCGGTTTATTGAGAAGGTCGTCGGAGTTTTGCTTGAGTTTTTCGGATGGTGATGGTGATGTGAGTTTTTCGGATGGCGACGGGGAGTGTTGATGTTGTTGTTGGTCTTTGCCATCTTTTCGATGATCGATACTGCCACGTGGTGTTGATACATTCGATGACGAATTATTATTGGTGCCACGTCCTTTGGGCGAATGTATTTGAAATGATGTGGTTGGCGACGCATTCTTTGACAATGAACCTGAACTGTCTTTTGATAGTTGGCCCTTTGGTTTGCCGGAGGTGGTTTCGTGCGTAATTTCCTTGTAACTGGTTTGATCTGTGTCACTTTCATCATTGTCTCGGCTGCTGTTGTACTCACGCGTTCTCTTACTACCACCACCAACAGCAGCAGCAGCAGCAGTACTACTTGAATCAAACTTGAATATATCCGGGCTTGTACTCATCGGCGGTGATTTACTCGCTGGTTTTGTCGCATGTTGTTTCTCCGTAATTTTATTCTTTTCATTTACAACATCATAATTGGCGGAATCCTGTAATGACGTTTGCAAAGACAAGCTTCCTTCCGATTCTCGTGCATTTTGTTGTCGTCGCAGCGCTCGTCGCTCCAACACAACGTTCACTTTATTGTAATCATCGTCATGTGGTTTGGATTTTTCTACCGGTTTCGGTTTTGTTGTGCATTTTTCCTCATCTCTTTCTTTTTTCTCCACAATGACGCTGGACTTGAAGACATCGGTCACTTGTTCGACGGCTTTGCGTCGTGGAACTTCAACAATATCTCGCATCCGGGTAAATGATAATTTGCGTTGTTGTTGCTGTTGCTGTTGTTGCTGTTGCGGCTGTTGTAGTTGTGTGTGTTGTGTGTTTTCGGGCTTTCTATCGTCAAGCAAATGAACGCTCGATCGTTTGCGTCTGGTTGGTGTACGTTTTTCGGCTGTCGTTGTGTCTTGGTCATGGGGCAATGGTTCGTGTTGCTCAGTATCAGTTTCGTCACCATCATCACCCACATGACTCTCATCTTCGGATGTATTTGAACTCTTACGCAATGCCTTTTTCATGATGCGCGCCAGAAATTCGCGTCTAGCTTTAATCTTCTCTTCATCCGGTTCAGATGGTTGACCGGGCGCATTTGGTGTTACGGGCGATGAAGCTTCCAGCACTTTTCTCCATCGATCGATTGCATTATTACCACAGCTATCATCCAATTTGGCATTAACAACACGCTGCAACATCTTCCGTCGCTCTTCTTGTCGCTCGCGACGCAATTGATTCTTCAAATCCTGATTTGCCTCACGAAGTGCACCAGTCAACGACAGCAAGTAATAAATTATCAGAATCAACAGTAGCAACAGTGGGATCACTGTGCTTGGGGATGCAATGATATCCATTGGCTTATGCCATTCCCTACAAAATGAAATTGTTGATTCAATTACCTGCGCAATGAGAAAGAGACACAGACACAACGAGTGTATGATACTACAGAAATAGCGAGCAATGCTTACGGTGGTAAACTGGTCTTTAATGTGTCTGTGAAGACACGATGGATGCGCTCATGATTGGCAAACGGGCCACAGTGCCACGACGGCTCAATCCAAACGATTGCGTAGCTCACAGGAAGCACGCACAGAAACAGCATCGTCAATAGCAACGCCAAGTAAAAGTTATTGGAACGCGAAGCTCTGCAAATGTAACACAACACGACGGGGAAAAAGAGTAAGGAAAGAGTAAATATTGAATAAAGTATAAATTGTGCTGTGAAATGTTGCCAATGAATGGGGAAAATGGAAAATGAAAAAGTACAACAAAAATGTAGAACCTGAATATAACTTCGTGCGGAACGTTGCATGTAAGAACCGCCCAAGACCGAAAGTACATTAAAATCCCGAGTTTTACTAAGTTTAAAATTGCCAGACCAGGAGCAAAAAACATCCCCATCCACACTTGACCTTGATTGTTCACCAAATGCAAAATGTTTTCTGCAATTTTGAAATCTCCGTACTGCAATCGAAAGAGAGATGAACAATGAAATGAGAACAAAGAAGAAGAAGAAGTAGAAGAGGAACTGAGGCGAAAATGAACAAAACAATTGAAATTGTAACGAATTCGATGGCAAGTGAAAGAAAAAGATGCAAACGGAATATGAATGTACAGCCATTAAAATTGTTGAAAATGTTTATTTACTTTTGGAAATTTCTTCTCCAAGTCCCAGCACCAGCACTTGTTCATGAAGCGAACGAACAGTGCACGGAAAAAGTCCATGAATAGCGTGGCAAAAATGGTAAAAATCAGATCAAGTACCGTCAATTTCACCAATTCTTGTCCGAATAGTGTTTCCCAGCAAAGGACACGCAACGTTTGTTGTTGCCCCTTGGTCATTTTTCGTATAGTTTTGCTCAGCTCTTTGCCAACATATTCGGGCGGTACGCCGGTAATGTTGTTGGCTTTTTTTGGTGCGTATGGCACACACTCCGTTGCACTGCTCGATTTTGTCAATAATGTTAAATTGGATGAAAGAGATTCATTAACAGCTGTGGTCAGTGATGCATTCGGAAAAATGGCCGAATTTTCATTGAATCCAGCTGTAGTGGATAGCGTTGTCATTGTTGTTGTTGGCACACGCATTTCCATGGGGCTTTCATTGGTTAGCGGTGTTGTTGTTAATTCGTTGCCATCGTTGTCGTCGTCGTGGGTCACCTCATTGCAAATCGTTTCAATGTACCAGCCATTTGGGTTGTCGATACATTTATCGTAAACGGGCTGTGCCGTTGTCTCAGTAACGCTATCAAAACTATCATTTTCGGTACTAATTGTGGTTGCAATAAATTCCGTAAACTGTTCCGATATTAGTGTTGTATTGTACGGATCCAGTGTATCGGTGATATTTTGTAGAAATGATGCCACTGTTGTGGATATTAGTTCGGTCATATTGAACAAATCTATGGTTGTACTATGAAATGGGGCTTCGGTGGTGTCGATCGTATCGTCATAATCATACGTAAGTGAATCGCTTTCAATATCATAGCTGACGTCGCTCTCTTCAAACGACATATTCATCGCATCCCTACGGAAACGTTCATCCGCATCTGAAATAAATAGCAATTAGTCAAGTTATCGTTTTGACCGTTGCTTTTTATGAATAGTATCCCTTTTTTTCCAAATGAATGTACCGATAACATCACAAATGAGTTCCCCCTCAATTCGATACATTCTCGAGGAGAGAGAGAGAGAGAGTGAGTGAGAGGGAGAGAAAGAGAATGAGAAAGAGACTGAAAAAAACACGCATACTATTCATAATCAGAGCACAGTTTAATTCAGTTTCAGAGCGATTTAGGTTTTTTTTCTCCAGTTTCTACAGCATGAGAATGCGGCTACAAACTTACTGGAATCATCGTATTCATCGGCGTAATCGTCAGAAGATGATGTTGTGGCCTCATAATCTTCGTTCAATCTCCCATCAAATGGAATGGGTGTCGTGGTGCTGCCGTCCATTGGATACACACGACTCGTATAGATAGTGCTGGCATTATAATCGGTCGTATTTTCATCGTACATATCGAAAGTGCTGAGACTGCTGGACGAATACATGTCCGAATCCCAAGATGAAATGGTGGTGCTAACATTTAACTGTTTCATAATTTCGGGGTAAATGCTGGTTGTAAAGTTCAATGCCAACAGTGATGTGACCATCGTTGTGCTTGAGCAATTCACTACAATATCAACACATTGTGTAACGCCTGCGAAATTTTCGGTGAATGCGCTCTTTGCCATTGTTACGAGCGTGGTGATGGCATCGGTTGGCACCAATTCACCGAGGGCTATTGCGGCTGAGGTGAATATGGAGGCGGTTGTATATGTGGAATCGGTCGAATGTGGGTGATCGGGCATCACATTCGTACCATTCAGCACGATCGATGTTTGATTTTTGTCGGGCCCGCAATGACGTCGCATCATGTCCAGTTTATTATTGATTGTTTCGATTTTCTTAAACATCGCAAAAATTAGCGAAAACAAATTCAGCAAATTCAGCAACATAATTCTAAAAAATTCAAAAAGTTTTTGTTCTTGTTTCGTTTTTCAGTTTGCTAAAGCTGGATTGTTTGAAAAATAATTGTGAAATCACGTGTGCAATATGCATACCGTCCTAATTGCCAACGTAATTGCTTTCGTGGATGATATTTCTCCAATAGCCCAAGGATTTCGAAGCATGTGGGAAAGAAGAATGAAATCCCGGTCATGACGAAACTGACTTCATTTTGACGCCAATATGAACTTGTTGGTCCCACCTCTTCGGATCTAAACCAGAGTAAGGAGCAAAAAAAAAACGACAATAAAGCGGATTTCAAAAAAGTCGCATACTTTACGTATGGAGAAAAAGAAGGAGATAGGGGACAGAAAAAAAGCATTATGTAAAACCACCAACACATTACCGTCTGACAACACTAACGACAGCGTATGCTGACAGCACCAACAAGCAAAGTATTAAAATATTCACTAAAATTCTGCGCACAATAATCTCCCAACTGTAATGAATAATAGCAAATGATTTTTTTGGGTTTTGTTTCTTTTCTTATTTTCTTTGCTTCATGTAATTGAATTGAAGCAACGGGAAATATGTACAGAGAGAGTTTATGAAAAAGTCGGAAAAACGCTGCTCTCACTTTTGCCTATCCTTTTTCTTTTCAGCTTCCTCGAGTAGTGCCTCTTTGAAGCCCAGCACAACGGATGCGATGCGATTATGAGCGGTTTCAGCATGACCTACATAGATTAAATTCAGATAAGACTTGTAAGACATGCACGAAGGCTTTAGTTCCCATATTCTCTCTCTCTCTCTCACACACACACACACAACATACGCACATACTGCACTCTCTGTTTGTCTTCACCTGATGTGATGATCTATTTACCAATCATATATTACCTATCATGTAATCCCATCCAGTGAATAGTTTCCATGAGAATATGCATTCATCCTCTTTTGATGACATTTTTGACATCCTTGAATTATCTGCCATTCTATGTCCATTAAGACAGTTAACGAAAAAGGTAAAATTTACGGAAATTTGTAAGCGTAAGCAAAGTTCAACGGAAAAGTCATCTCAAAAACGAAGAAGGTATTTCTTATTGTTGTGTGAAAAAGCTTAAACAAAAGAATAGAAGAACAAAAGCCAATTTTTACTTGCGCAACGTTGCCCAAAAGCTGTAAATGTATACAGAAACGCCAGCAAAGAAATAAGCCAAGGGTAGATTGTATCGTTGGCCCATTGCGATTCCCGAATAGTCTGAATAATAACTGGGAACATGCAAACGTAATGAATGTGTTACAAAAGTTGTTTTTATGTTAATGCATACGCAAACCATGTGAACAAACTAAAAATGATTTTTTTTTCTTCCTCAAACCACTTTTTGGCTGCCTACCCATAGAATAGTGGCGAATACTTGAGATAGCCTTCGAAATTTAAAAAGGTCTTCAGTTTAGTGGCATTCGCATACTCATCGTCCGTCATAATTTTTCGATGATCACTCTGGCCCTGATACTGTGATGCAAGAAACTGTATGTTTTATTTCGTGTAGTTTTGTTGTTCATGGAAATGCAAAAGGAAAGAGTTTAATTAAAAATGAATGATGAACCGAAGAAAGTGCCCAGACAAGGGCAGTTTCATTAGCATATAGTTTTCGATCAATGGAATAAAGAGGATAAAGCAAAAGAAGATTTAAACAACACAAAAATGCTACCTACCTCTGGAAAAATAACAAATGTTGAGAGTGTAAATGCTAATACGATGTTCACCCAAAAAAGCCATCGCAAAAATGTAAAATAGGACGCAACTACTGATCCGAAATGTGATTCAATCTCCTTAATGCGAAGTTGCCACGGAACAAACAGTGTCGATAAGTTAACCAATTCTCGCCGAAAGTGTTGCCATTTCTTTAAATTACCCGCATCATTTTCGAATCGAATGTGAATGAATAAAAAGGAATGGAAACGAGAGAAAGAGAGAATGGGAATAGAACGCAACGGAAATTAATCGAATTTCAAATAAATGTGGATATTGAGCAGTCGATTTTATCAGTCACTTGATCTGGGTTTTCAAAAGCCCCCCCAAAAAAAACGGAGAATCCATTATTGCGTCGCATGAAATTGCGAACATTTGATAAAATCAATTTGATTTTCGAAATGGCCCAAAACACCATATCACAAGTACTACGACTATATATATATATATACAGCCAAAAATTCCAATTGGTTCTCGACACTTACAACTGTTAAAACGATTTTAAATCGAGCCCATAAATCTTTTGTGCTGCGAGACATAGCAAAGCGCTCCTGCAATGCTCCTTCATGCCGTGCAATATACTCTCTGGCCTATTAACAATTTTCCAAATGTATTTGAGACAAATTAAAATTGAACATCATTGATATATGCAAAGCATTCCATTTTTGGAATGTTGAAATGGCAACTGCCACCACTGAAGCATCACAACAGCAACAGTAGCGACAGTGACGGTAGCAGCCGGTCATCTTAATACTCACTTGCCGAACCAAACGTAGCTTTCGCCTCATGCTCCATGGTTGCATTTTAACCGATTGTAGAACTTCTTTGTGCAATCGAATATTTTCGAAAATTTGCTCTTTCGTTGACTCCTGATTGTTGGCTCCATCTCCGAGTGATACGACCGTTCTACAATTTGCGTATAATGCGCACCGAGAACACATAGGGAGATAAATAAAGATAGAGAGAGATAGACCATTGCTTTAAAATCCAACCGAACTTGATGATTTGAACTTATGACATTGAGGAAGCTTTGGCACAATGTGAACGATTTAATACGATTTTGGGGTTTATGTGTGTATGTGTGTGTGTGTGTGTGGTCAAATAAGCAAGAATGCTCTGGAATGTGAAAAAAACAACATCGAATACATAATCTAGTCTGTGTATGCTTGTATCAAGCTTAAGCTTGCCCAATGCCCATACAAAATATAAAGGTACACACACAGCAATGTATGCAAAGTATACCATACACATCGACGATTTTTCAATGTTGCTTACACACATTTCTGTTGAAACATTTCACATTCTAACGAGCGGGCAGCTGCAACGTTGCGCTTCAAACACAAAAAGCGCCATCTGCACATATTTGACTATTCAAAGTGAACTAGCTGTCATCAGTATCGATGAGTCATCGACGCTCAATTTTGGGTCGTAAACAGTACATTGAAAATTGCAAATGTGCCGTTTATGACCCAAAATTGAGCATCGATGACTCATCGATACTGATGACAGCTAGTTCACTTTGAATAGTCAAATATGTGCAGATGGCGCTGTAAAATCGTTCACCACTGACAAACGTCAAATTAGTATGGAAAGAAGTCAATGTTGCAGCCTCCCGCTAACGAGCAATTTTTCTCGTTTAATCTATGATATTTTATGTTGATTCGTTTACTGGCTTCCAGGATTTTTTTTCTCTTCTCGTCATCTCTTCACTCTGAGTGAGCGTTGCTGAGTTTGGTGATATAATATAAATAAGGTAGAACGGAGAAAGAGAAAGAGAAAGAGAGGCACTTACTCGCCAGAGCTGGTTGTGTAAACAGAGCTGCGACGTCGATCGGCTTTGCTAACAGCAATTGAATTACCAGCTGGAATGCTTACGTGACCCATTGGACTTGATGCACGTCTTGGACTATAGTAGCCCTTTTTACGACCACGTACGCTAGCACGCCTTTGTATCACCGCCGATAGAGATAATGAATAGTCTTCGTCTTCAGAATTTATGTATTCTGTGTGTTGAATGTGGTTTTGGTGGTATTGGTTGGTTGCGAGTGTCGATATCATCGAAAAATAGTCATATCCAATGGAAAAAAATACACAGAGAAAAAAGCAGTCTGGTCAATTACTTCCGATAGAATAAGAGAGAAAAATTGCTTGAAATTTTCCTCTTCAATTTTTTTTTCAGTTTAAATTACCGGGAACATCTATTGGTTCCATATAAAACTGGTCATAATACGGTTGAAATCCAAGATAGGGATCGGCTGATAAACTTCTACAGGAAAATGAAAGTAATAAGAACAAGTTTGTGAATGAGAGAAATGGAATTCGAAATCCGTTGTGGTGAAGCGATAAGTAACTTGTGTTCCAATTCCACGCGTTGAAGTGCATGGTGGAAGTGCATGGTGGAAGTGCATGTGCGTCATACAAAGTGAAAATTAAACATGACAAACAAATTTCTATTTACTTTTTCGCACGTTTTTCACTTGAACCTGACACTCGATCTGGTCGCACTTGCACATCGCTTGCATTTTCTGCTTTCGTAGTATTATCGTTTGGAAAGGCCCATTTCACGGATAATTGCGTTGACTGTGGCGATGGTGAAGCCTGCAAATGTATTTTTGTATTTATATTCTGTATGTGTACCGTGTTAACTAGGCAATCGTTCAAACATTATTGAGAGGTAAAAATAGCTTGTTTTTTTCCCCATTTAGTCCGAAAAAAAATAACACACACGCACACTCGCTTACTCATAATTCAATAAGCAACATTTATGAATGACCTTATTTCCTCTGTTCACAAGTCAAGTGTTCAAGTCTTTTAGAAGATTATGTCTTTATAGTAATGCAGCGTGAGCAGAAACAGTTGCGAACGGGAACGAACGCAGCAAGTGAGCTTTTATTGATTAATATCCATACTAATACAATGAATGCAACGGCACATCGTGTGTGTGTGTGTGTGTGTTTTTTTTTTGTTTGTTTCTTTGTATCCTTTAAGTTCGTGTTAATTTTCTGATTAGTGCAGAAGGGGGTTACATGGAATTTTTCACTATGTACATACGGGCAAAAATTCCACCGTTTCGTTTCAAACGAATCGAATGAAGAAAAAAAAAGACACCGAAGCGAAAGGAATGAAAAGGAGCGCGCTGTGTGTGTGTGTTATAAGTATGTGAGATTCTCACACACTCTGTTTCTCCCTCAATCTATCTTCGTTTGGCGGAGACGAATAAAAAGAAATTGAATCGTAGAAAGAGCAGTGGGGAATGATAATCTTATTAATAGCTGATGAACACGCAATTTGCTATGTCGATGACATAGAAAAACGAACAACGAACGTCACACACAAAAAGAAAAAAAAACGCAACAGTCAACAACCAGCTCTATAAGGCACTTGGAAAATATGATTCGTACAGCATATTCCCAAAAAATGGTCAAATATTCGTCGAATTTTGCACTCATACTATTCTGAATGTGGTGGAATGGTTAGAAACGACGACATATTATTTTTCTCTGCTTTTTTTATATTTCACACAAGTCTTTGTTGGTTTTTTTTCTCCTTTTTTCTCTGAAATTTTGTTTATTTCTCACTTGTTAAAATCCAATATAAATCCTTCATTCTCTTTGATAAAAAAAAAACATAAATAATCTTGATTTCAAATTCAATTCCATTCAGAAAAAAAAATCCACCTGAAGACAAATTTTGACATTTTCACATGAAAAATGCGAGCAAAAAAAAAACTGACAAAGAATTAAATCGAATTTCAAGAAACTTTTACTAATCCATGAGCGAAACCATATTTTTCACTTCATCTTTCTTTCACTAATCGCTTTAATCCTTTGCGTTGATCATCATTGATCTCTCAACTTACGTCAATATGTCACAACAAAATCGTTGTGATCACACTATAAATCATTTACTTTAATGACGTGCGAACAAATAATTCTCGCAGCAAAACCGAATTATGAACAAAAAACACTCGTAGTACGTTTTCATCACAGTTATTTGGTTTAATCGTTTTACACGAAACAAGAAAATCGTTGGTATTAGTTTAAACGTTTAAAAAACATCGACTTAAAATGGCGTTGAGCGAAAATTAAGCTTTAAAAAAAAAACTTGTAAACTTTTCTCTATTTAAACACTATTAAAATTTCAATTTTTCTGTCATAAATTGACGAACGATTCCTCTTCGTTGAGCGTGTTGTATGTGTTTGAGATAGAGAAAAAAAAGGCTTGAATCGATATAAAAAATCAAGCAATGAGTTGTTTTTTGTTGTTGTTAAGGAATCGAATGCAATTGAATGGGAAGTGTTTTACACGAAAGAAAGGTCATTCGCAAACTGAACATCGTGTTCTATTTAGCAATATCTTGTACTGGTCGAATTAATTTATTCGTCTTTTATTTCTAATTTTCCCTTTAACGTTCGCCCTCGTTCCATGAGTCGCAGTAGTGCCTTGACTTTTTCGCTCTAGTATGCTTCTTCTATCTCTATCTCTCATTCGCTCTCTTTCTATCCTTCGGTGTCCGCCTCTCCATTTTTGCTATTTCTTTCCTTTTCTAATACATTTCACGTCTTTTCTGCACATACAGAAGAGCAAAAAAAAAAAATATCCGATTTGATTGATCGTATACATGTGGTTTTTGTGTTTGGTTTGGTGGTGTTGTAGCGTGTACTCCGTATATTCATAATAAGAAACCATTTAATGGTCATCTACGTATCTATAGTCGGGCTGGGTAAGAAGAAGCATACAGGAGCAAAACGCCATTTTTTATACTAATATTTCCCATCAGCAGCGATTATATTTTGTTTCTTTTTTTTTCGTCGACATGCATGTATTTGTAATATTTGTTGTGTTCCTGATGAGAGCGAGAACACACCAAAAGCAACGAAACAAAGTGACAACCGAACAAACTAGCCGAGAAGTAGAAGAAGAAGAAGAAGAAGAACTCTGTGGACACACAGTGGTTTCAGTTCAGGCCCTGTGTGTTCTCTCTATGGCTCTATTCATGCGTATAGACACTTAATTAGTATTTATAGACAATATAGAGTGGCTTTCTTTATGTCCTGCACAAAGCTGGTTTCGATTGAACCGAAAAACACCCCCCCCCCACCCCACCCAAAAAAAACAAAAAAGCCAAATAAATGTTCGTTGTCTTTTTTTGGTTCGTTCGTTCCACTCAATGTACGGATGAGTGTGTGCCTCTTTTTTTTTATGTCGGTTGCGTGAAAAAACATGTTTCGCTTCACGCAGTCAATCAGGATGTTGGACATCTCTTTCACTCACTATCCTTTTCGAGTGCTCCAATGTTCATTCATTTATGACATTCCATCGTCAGCATGGGCTTGGACTTTTTATTCGGTGAATTTTATATTCGAACATAGACTCTGGCATGCAAAATCAAAACGAGCGGCTCTACGCTTTTTTTTCAACGTCTTCTACCGAATTTTGTTCATTATTAAACGAACTAAATCATATTTGAGTCATATAAAACCATCACAATTGATTTACCTCCAAATTTCAATGGAAAAATGCAATTCCAAGTATTGGCTTTGTGACGATTCGTCTCTGACGAATTTTCATCCACTCCAAAATGAAATGAACAAACGCTGACTTTGCGTTAAATGAAAGGGATCCAGTAATTTGACCGTTTGTAATTACCGCGAGTGAAACGTATATACCCTGCTGAGCTTATAGATTTCAATAAAAATTGCCTCACTTGAGCGAGGAAATTTTTTAATCAGATTATGACCGAAAGAATCATTGTGCACATGCAAACATTTCCCCGTAATGTGGATGAAACGTAACACCAGTGAGTGATGGTGTCATAGGCAAATGTAAATGCGATCAACGCGTACTGCCAGCAATTAGCTTTTATGGTTCCATTTTTGGCCCAATCACATACTTGTGATTCATTAACTGCCAGGAATTAGAGAGCATGTTTTGTTGAACATTTGCAAGTGAAGTGAAGTCTCTGATCATTCGAGAAACTATTGGGTATGCCCTTTGATTCCTGGAAGATCGATTTTCAAATCGGTCACATCAAACAAAGATTTTCCAATCGAATCCACAAAAAAAGCACTTTAACACTTTGTGTGATATTTTCAAATGTAAATTCGGTTTGTTATCAGTAGCCAATAAAAAAAAGGCTGCCACTCATCGCTATTGCCGTTTATCGTGAGTTTTTATTGGCTAGGCAAACTAAGCGCTTGCTGTTATTTTTTTCTTTTGCTTTCGTCCATTTGTGCATGTTTCTTAAAGTTCTAGTGAAAATGTCTGCTTAAACATTGGGTGTGGTTTTTCAAGTAAAATAACGACAAGCAGCAACAACGAGGAGACGCACATTTGTCTCATTACTATGCACGATCAAGATATTGTATGATTGTATTTGTATAATGTCTAGTATGTGTGTGGGTGTTCGCTGCTGTGTGTGTGTGAGAGAGCACAATGAATGTGTGTCTCAGAGGTTTTCTCTTTCGCGCGATTGTCAATTCCAGAGTGTTTGCCATGTTGTGAATGTTGTTTATTTTTTTCATTTGTGTCCAATGTGAGAGAATGCAAAAAAAACAATTCCATAATTTTTTTCTTTCCTTATCACTCCCCTGACACACACACACATTCCCACTCAGCGAGCACATACAATGCGATATAAAAGCCAAAGCTAATACTGAGCGTCCCGTCACATTCTTCGATTGAAGGTTTTCGGATTTTTTTTTCTTTCTTTCTTTTTTCTCCATATAACTAATACTCTTCTTCATTCCATTCGCATTCACACAATGGAATGCCAAAAAGCTTATTCGGCCTTTCCATTTCCATTTTTTGTATTGTGATATCGATTCACGCGACACTTTTTTTCAACCAGCCCGCACATACACATACACATACTTTGCATCTCATTCGCATTGAAGAATGTATCTCGCCGTTTCCATTTCCATTGAAATGACAGTTTGCTGACCTACGAATACATTGAAAACTATTTCATTCGCAAACCGCAACCGCACCGAGAAAAAAAATGCGAATGAAATTAATTTTGGTATGAAGTGGTGACGTTTTTCACCTC